AAAACAAGATCAAAAAGACTTTTTGGCTGATATAAGATTTTAAAACTTGGTAAAATGGACAGTTTTTGCAGTGTGACGCAGCAGATTGCGCTCCAAAACCCCTCTCAGCTCTCATGTTTGGATCAGATCAGTTTGCAGAACTCGCTCCTTCTGCACGTACTATTCCACTTTGGGTCCCATGAAAAAAAAAAAAAAAAAAGAGATGCACAAGCTCACAAGCTCCAATGTGTTTCCCATTAAGCCCCTCACAATGGTGCCTTCAGTCTCGGAGATGACACCTCCAGCTGTGAGGCCGAACATCCAGCAGAGAAGCGACATCCTGGCGCGGACCATATGGTGCCCAGGGAGAGATAAAAAAAATCCTGTCTCCATAGAGCTTCTCAAAGATCCTGTGCAGAAGTTAACTTCCAGAAGTGGCAGGGTACTCCGTTTTTCCACGAATGAAAAGTGATAAATCAGCGGACCAACAGCGTAATTATGACGCAACAAACTGGCACAAATCAAAAGTTTTCCTCACATTTAAAACGTTTCTTCGTACACTAAAACATTATCAACCTGACCTTTCAATTACCTTGTCCTAATCCCGTGTTTCCAGTCTCCTCCTGTCAGTATATCCACAGAGAATCGGTGCGTCCACAGGGCGCAGTGGGGCTCTATGATCCACAGATCCTGCCTGTGTGCACAAACACAGCCGCTCCACTACTGCGCTGCAGCTACAGCGACCTGTAACTGACTCTGTTCCAGTCCAACCCCCCCACAAACTACCCCTCCTCTCCCCAAAAGTCAGCATCTGGCTCAAACGTCTCAGGAAATGACCCCCCAGTCCCCCTTAGAAAGCTTTTCAAATTAAGAGACTTTAAGAGGATTTTTTTTTTTTTTGGACAAAAAGAGCAGCGAGAGCGCGCCGGTGACTGTGGGGATGTTTTAAAAWCTTTAAGTCAACTTTAAGTTTTTTATTATTGTTGTTGTTTTTATTTAGAAAATGTTACAAAAACTTTATTTTATGGCTGCATCTGTGAGTGTGAGCAACCCACAGRACCGAGCAGTTTAATGGTTTTACATCAAAAACACAAAGCTCAGTTTCTGCGCGTCAGACAGAAACAGCAGAAATGAGCTGTGAAGCTCACAGAGGGCGCTCCAACACCACCATACAGGCTCAGAGCAGCCTCCACACCTCCCCCACTCAGTCTCTCTCTCTCTCTCTCTCTCTCTCTCTCTCTCTCTCTCTCTCTC